GGAGGCCATCGCTTCTAGGTTGGAGGCCATCGCTACTAGGTTGGAGGTCATCGCTTGTAAGTTGGAGGCCATCGCTTCTAGGTTGGCGGCCATCTAGCTTAGGAAGTCTGAGCGGCTTTAGATTGCTTATTCCGCACCCAAGTGGTAGAACACATGCATCCATTCATTTCATCACTTTGACGGTAAGGTGCACTGATTCAAACAATATCTTTTGTAGGCATCACGAGTGGCATCCTTGCTGAGAACGGCACCAAAGTGCTTGGACTTGACCGAAGTCTTCACGCAGTACAGATTGCTTCGCAGCGATTTCCGCAGGGATGTCATTTCCATGTTTTCGATGTCTCACAGGGATCTCTTGGAGACGCTATGCCTTACATATATATTTGGCTGTGGGTCATAACCTGGAGCTCAGTTCACCCTGTAGGTTGACCTGGCTGGTAATCTATTCTGTTCATTTTCGGTGGTCAACCTGCGTGTCCCAGTTTTGACCCACCATATAATCCTTTCAACCTGTTCAGGCTCTTGAAAAGAAGTCTTACTTGCACGTCAAGTGCGCGCATGTCTGCACTTTTTTCTTTTTTTCTAAGGACATGCTCTCCCAACATTTGCATCATTTGGGCACCTCCATGGGTGCGGTGGGCGCTTACTTTGTGGACTTGGGGGGTGATGCTCCTCTGAGCCGCGTGCTGGCAGCGCTGGGTGCGCTGGAGGCCCTGGGCGACCCGAGCAAGGAGGAAGCAAGTGGAAGGAAATGTAAGAGAAGCAGATAGCGATGTAAAAGCATAGCACAAAGACGTAAAAAATGCCCAGGGCAGATAGCCATGTGTTTTCCACGCAAGAAGCAAGCTCTATTGCAGCCCCAACACAGGTGCAGGTTTGTGCTGCTGCAAGCATTCTAGACTCCAGACCTTTTGTTGTTCATCAGTGGACCCTATGAGGAGCCTGGATTTGAAGTGGTTGTGAAGAATGAGGAGCTTGTTTTACTCTACCAGAGCTTTCCTCAAGACTACAAGGCATAGAATCAGAAGGCCAATTGAACCGTCGCTAATACAATCTGGAGTTGCCACTTGAGGGTCCAAGACAGCCAAAAGGTGAGATGACACCAAAATTGCTGAGCTGCTGCTTGCCTTAGCTTTGTGAATGCCGGCGGGTCAATATAGATAATAGCTCTGGATGATATGTACTCCATGCAAGAACAGGGCCGCAGTACCGAGAACACGGCCCATCCGATCAGCGAGGAGGACACGCGTGTGAACACGTGCAACCCTAAGCATGGAGCAGAATCACCTGGATCCATGGCTACGAGATCGGATTTGAATGAGATGCCGACCTGTCGCTGCCGTAGCATTCAGATGAGGCAAACGTATGAAGCATCCACCAAGCGACTGGGAGAACTTGCGTTGCGCGTGCAGAAAAGCTTGGAGCTGGAGAGAAATATCAGTTTGCAGAGGGGCATAGCCACCAATATGGTCCCAATGCTACTCTCAGGCAAAGCTCTGACACTGACATGGGTTGCATGATGTTGTATGTGACAAGCTTGAATCCCAGGAGTTACAAGCCTTGTAACGGAGTGATTTTCTGGATGATTGATGTCAGGGAAGCCTGGAGACAGCGCTGGGCCTGGCCAGTATGACTCGCACAAGGTGCCCGGGCGGCGCGGGCGGTGCGGGCAGTGCAGCGGTTTGGAGCCTTTGCGGGGGGACGACGGGCGACAAGAAACTTCTGCGGAGCAACAGCCCAAGTTTCAGCAACAGTGAATCATGATGGTGTCCCCACCTTGATTTCTCTCTGGCGCTGCCAGTGCTGCAGACCTATTTCTATAGTCATGGATTTATTGGGCTTTGTCGCCATGCTAGTGCTTTTGCCCTTTCATGGTTTCTGCCACGCAAAAATTGTGTACACTTGGCTTCGATTAGATGCGTGAGGATTGACATCAGATCTACAGTATATAAATCACCAAAATCAGCTCAGATGCCCTTCCCAAGAGCCGATAGTTTTGGTTTGTGTGGCTCCTCACCAGGGGAGCATCTCAAGCTAAAATATTCACGGCTCTTGAAGCTCCTCAGTCAGAGTCAGGTCTGTTGTCCCATTTTGGAGTTTGCGCTTCGCGTTCCAGACACCTTTGACAGAAAGTGGATGGAATGCAAGGAGCAGAAAGTGATAGTATCACCAATACACCATGCTATCATGCTGACATTTGTGTTTGGTCAAGTGAGTACTTGTTTGTGTTTCACGCCAGTGTCGAGTCATGGCCAACGGTGCTTTGGGTGGTCGGATTATGCCGCTGGGGAGCCAAGAGATGAGCGAAGATGCCAAGGACATGGACATTGTTGCAGATCGTTGAGATGGACATGTGGAATGCAAACAATGAAATCACTTTTCACCTAAATTCCTCATTTTTGGCGAGAATCCCTCATGTCGGGCAGCTGGGTGTTTTCGGGCCCAGGCCCTCTGCAGAGCCGGTGACCAAGCCCTCGGAGACACCGGGCCCTGGGCATTATGTCACCAAGGCCAGGTCGACGAGCCAATCAACCAAGCAGCGGTTTTCTGGGTGGAGCACAAGCACCTCTTTCAAGCCTGTTAAGCTTCCCTAAAAATCTAGTGTTCAAGGAAGCTTCCCCCGCTTCTTCCTAAGTAGTAGCTACTTGTAGGTAGGATAGCTATCTCTTCTACTAGCCTGTGAGCCGAGGGCATCGCTCAGAGTGAGAAGCCCGTCTACTCGGCCTTTGCCTCCCAGTCAGAACGTGGGTGTCGTTCCCAGCGCCGCACCATTTATTTGCCTGCCAATCACAACTGGACAGAGAAGTGCTTTCCCTTTGGCAAGACCAGATTTCCGCTAAGACAAGAGTTCGGTTGATCTCAGTGGTTCATCAAATCATTGAGAAGTATCGCAGCTAGTTTCAGGCCTGGGAAGGATCTCGCCAACGACTGGCACCCTAGGCCGTCAAAGCATGAGCACAAGGCTGCAGCTGAGATGCCCGGACCTGGCCAATATATTCCCAGGCACCGTGCTTCCCTTTTCTACTTGACTTCCTTTGTTCCTTTTTGCCATGGATGAAGTTTCTACCGAAGGCGAGGGCGACAGCAACAATACCATACTTGTCTGTCCATGAAATCTGTGTGGACGTTGCACCCGCTAGATGAACCAACTCTGCATCTGAGTCAAAGTCACATCACTTTCCCTCGACAGTTGCCAGTTGCCAGGATCAACCGACGGCCCAACATGCGGGAGTTGCATCCGGAGCTTCAATACTTCGGCAGCACCGCGGAGCGCTTCAAGGAGGCGACTTGTCGGGTGAAAGCACGTCGGCCGCCACGGCGTGGGCCACGGCATCAGCGAAGTGTGGGGAGACACAAGGAGATGATCAGACTCCGAAGGTGGGAAAAAACACCTTGCTGTCGCCCGGCGGTGAGAATGTGGGTCTGTGATTTCAACTGCTTGGGCGGTGGCATCCTTTCCTACTTGGCAAGGAAGATCTTTGAGGATTCCGGGCCTGGTCTGCCGACGACCAGTGCAGCAAACGTCAAAACCCGGGTCTTATGCCAGGATGAGGCGGCCGTGATTGCCAGCCAGCTGCCTGGGCCTGGGCAGTACGGCGTTCCACGACACCAGAACAAGGTGCGAATATCAGTGGGAAGCGAACGGGGTGTCTCTGGGTGTCTCTGTTTCTCCTTGCTGGTTTCGTAGAGTGGGTGATAGAGCGGGTGATAGACCGGGTCGATCGCGGATCGTGGTTGATCCGGTGGATTGATGTCAAGCGATCGCTGCGTTCGGGGCGGAGCGATCGGACGCTAATTACTAGGGCTCCTGGCCTTACTAGTAACAAGAAGTTGATGGTCTCATTTGAGTTGGCCTTTTGAGTCCAGTCTGTGACAGACAGTGATTTCATCCACCAGCTCTCAGGGCAAAAGCTTTGCGTGGCTCAAAGGGAAGCGCTTTCAGGCGAGTTGGTGTGACTCCTGTCTGTAACAGTGCGGGAAGCAGCAGACCGGTCGACCCTTAAAGTGTTCAATGATCAGCATCTAAGAATCTAATACTCATAATACTCATTCTTTCGTTGATTCTCCACGACTTGTTCAGGATATACTCGGGCAAAAGATTACTGTAGATCAAATACATCACTAAAATGAGTACTCCTCCTCCCCAAGTTGTTTGGATATGCGGAAGAACCAAATTGCACAAGCAGCCAAGCAACGGCTGGTGTTTGCTGTTTGCCATAGGTTTGTAACTTACAGTCATTCAAGTGTTGTGCAAAGCTTTGGTTGTTGCTTCTTGCGCAAGTACTTCATTCTTTAGTATGTGGTTGATTCTTCGGTCAGTTTATATATATATATATACACATACACATACACATTATATATATACAATAAATATAATGCTTTCGGTTTTCATTTGCTCACCTGTCAAACGTGCTTTCAAAGGAGCCCAAACAGAAAGACATACGGCCTGGGCCTGGCGCCTACTACAGCCGCTGGCCTAGAATGCTTGTCGACATCCGTGTAGGCGCTGTGAGTTGTGTTCGCATCAAGTGATGGAGTGCGAAACCAGGTGAAACGATTCCCAGTGAAATGATTCCCAAGGAAGCTTCTAGTTACTAGACAGCTTTTTACTAAGAAGCTTCAAAGACCTACTAAAAAACTTATTGTTACTAGTAGCTTCAAAGACCTACTAGTAGCGTCCTTGCTACTAAAAAGTGTTCACACTGGTGATCTGAGATGCCAAAACCTTTGGCCGCAATGGTTCGGTGTCCATCTTGGGCGGCAGTGGGACCTTAGCCTTCGGCCTGGAACCTGGAAACCGGTGTGAACTGTTGACCAGTCCATCCGTGGGTGGATGCTCGCCCATGATGTCAGTAGCTTCCTGTTAGTTTTTTTTGTCCATATCATGGTTGCGGCCACCAAATGCGAGCAACTGCCATAGGTCCTCGAGTCCTTGACACCCTTGAAATCTGAGGTGTCATACTATTCTCTATTGGAGGCTAATTCTGTAGGTTGGCGTAGCACAACGAGTCGCGTTTAGCTGGCCAATTCACTTCTATTTGCGGCTATGCTGCTTCTGACCACAAGATGTATCCCCCCTTTGAAACGCCTGAATCAATAGCCCACAGACATCCAAATTGGCGGGTTCCTTTGAAACGTTTGTTCCTGTGAGGCAGCATGGAGGCAAGACGCGGTGTCAGCGATCCCCGAAAGGGCCAGGAGAGAGACATGGAAGCAGAGCAGAATGCTGGGACCAGAGGGAGATGAATTCGTTTCTTGTAGACTCTTGATTAACAAAACCCCCCCATAGGAAGAGGCTTTTCAATCCACACAGTCCTTTTAATATCATTGTTCCCGAATGCGTAGCGAAGGGTTCCCGTTTATAGTTGGGGGTCTGGGGGTTGGAGCTGTGTTTGCATGGCTTGCGTCGTCTCGTCGTCTCTCGTCGTTTGTCGTCGTTTGTCGTCGTTTGTCGTCGTTGAGGTTGCGAGGTGTGACGGAGGTGACATTTCGTGGCAGGTGCTGTCACATTGGGATTGGCGTGTGAGGTTGTTTGGAGGGGCTGGAATCGCGAAACTGCTTGGCAGGGCTGCGTGATGGGTGTTTCCGCTTGACTTTTGGAGGAAGTCTCGTACGAAACGCTCGTTTTGGAGACTTGACGCGCAACCCTCTGCGGAGATCGTGCGTGTCGAGTGCGCGAGGTGCAGGCGAGAGTGCGATTAGAGTGTCCCACAAGAGTGTCGTTTGGACATATGTAGTTTTTCGAACGTGTTTGCATTCGGGTTCGTGGGTTCCAGCTTGTTTAGTTTTTTAAACAATCAAGAGTCTAATTGGGCAATTGGTATTGCTTTTTATCAGCTCGTACATGTATGTTTGAACCATGGCCCTCAAGGGCCGAAGCGTTCAGGAGCCTGGCCCTGGTGCTTACTACGAAGGGGTCGAGGTACGAGAGTGTAGGAGGGGATCCAAAGAAGCACAGTGAAGAAGCTTCTGCCGAGACAGGTGCGACAAAATGTGAGCTGTTTTGATGGTTGTCCAAACCGTTAAAAAGCAAACGGTCTGCTGTGTAGAATGCCTCTTTGTGCAGCAGGTGTACCAGCAAGTCAGGCAGTTCAGAGACATTACCAAAAAGTAGAGGCAACAAAGACCGAAGGGCCATTGTGACAAGGCCCTCTTTGAAAGCACTTTATTCAAGGGGCCCTTACCATTTTCTTTGCCTCTGGCCTGCTTTTCACTGAGAGAAAATTGGGGTGCTAAATGCTGTGCTAGCTATGTACGCTGCACGATGTCAGGGAGATGCCACCTCCAGCAGGCGATGGCGAAATGTTTTGCTGGGAGGGCGGAATGTTAAGTTTCTCTAAGAATCTAGAAACTAAATCATTAGCGTGAGCTATCCTGCGTCCTGTCGGTAGTAGCTACTTAAGCTACTAGCTACCTACTAGCTGCCTCCCTAGCTAACCTACCTCTAAAGGCCCACCCCCCACCCCGGGCTTAAAAAGAGAACTTCTCCAGAGGCTGAAATCCACTTGGTGCATTGGACCGCTCTTCACTTCCAGGAAGCCGCGCAAAGTCGTCCCCCCCAGCTCGTTCTTCCGGTCCACCGTTCCGAAGGAGCGCCGGTCCGAAGCGTGTCCTGTGACTTGAGAAGCTCGTGTGAAACCATCTCACTCATTTCGTTGCTTCGGGGTGTTCGATCTTCCCTTCTTTGATTCAGGATGTCATGGTGGCTCAGTACCAGAAGGATGGCCAGATTGGGCCACCCCCGGGAGCGTGAGCCGCTGCATGAGCTGAATGTATAGCTGGTGGTGATTTCACCTAGTATATAACTGTAGTAACCAGCCCCTAGTAGCTTCTTGTTCCTAGTAGCACGGCCAGGAGCCCCTAGTAGCGTCCGTCCTTGCTCCTAGTAGCGATGCCAGGAGCCCCTAGTAGCGTCCTTGCTCCTATGGATATTCTGACATGTAGTCTCATGATGGATTCTCCGGCAACATTATGAGATTATCAACTACGGACCTGCTGATCTCCATCTTGGCACCAGAGTCTTTGGACAGCCGCTCCTGCATTGGCTTAGGAAGGGAGGCAAGGTTGGAGGTCGCCTTTGAGGCCCTGCCCAGAGCCTGGCAGACTTGAACTTGGAGCAACGAGCCACGAAGGTACAGCCCAAGAGCTGCAAAGGACCTGGGGACCATCCAGCGCTTGGCACCAAAGAATGAAGGCTTTGGTTCTGCCAATGCCTTAGATTTTGGATTTCTATGCTAAGAGTTATAGCTTGGGCGCTAGGTAAACTTCGGAGCAAGACCTGAAGTGAGATGTTAATAGATGTGGATAGATATGTATATCTGATACGAGTGTGTTGTCGTGTTTGGGTAATCGAAAGATCATGTAAACAGAACAAGTAAGAACAAAGGAAGGTAAGGCTCCTTAAAAAAGGGGGGCCATACAATCCAATCTTTTCATCTACTGTGTTCTTTGTTCTTTCATGTTCTCCTTTCTATTTGGGCTAAGCCAGCTTGCCTCTCAGCGTGTCCAGGCCTCTCAGCGTCTCCAGGGTGAGGTGGTGACCAGCTGTGGGCCTGGTCCCGGCTGGTGCGCCACGGTCGACACCGGGTGGTCCATCACTGGGTGCGGTTTGGTCCATGCAGAAGGTCCTCGTCTTTGCCCAAAAGGTCCTCATCTTTTGTTTCAACAGAGCATCTGTTTACATAAAACATCAAACATGCTCTATAGTTTATTGTAAGGGTCCCTCTTCAGGGTCCTATGACCTGCAGTTTTGCTGCAGGTACAAAGTAAAGGACGTCACTGGTGGCAAGATCCAGGGAACCTTCAATCGCCATGCTGTCTCCCTGGCATTTTGCACAGAGCATAGCAGCAGGTATTTTTGTCCATTCTCTTTAGCTTTTCACGATTCCTGTGTTGGGTTGCAATTCTTTTTGACTGCCCTTATCAAGCCTTTCAGGTGGAGGCTGCTCCAGCATGTGGTATGCCGAGGGCTGCTTGGTGGCAGAGAAATCACCACACCTTTTGCATACCTTTGCCGGTCTTTTCTCAGCTCGCGGCCCGTTCTCAAGGGACTGGGCACCCTCATTGAAGTGTGCTGCTTTGTTGTGTTGATGCCACACAATTCATTGAGGACATCCATTTGTTCCCAATTGCTTGGCTCCGCTCAGCCGCTCCCCCTCTCCTGTTGCTGTTTGGATACTCTTCAGTCATGAAGTCTTTGTTTCTCCTTTCACTTCAGCACTACCCAGGGCTTGGGCTTCGAGTCGCAAGCCAAGCGATTTGGCCTTGGAGATCCGAAAGGGGAGGCTTGGACGTGGCGTTTGGAGAAGAGTGGCCGATCCGTGGACTGGCCCATCTCTCCAAAGATCTCAGGAAAGGATCCAAGACAAACCAGGGGTCCTCATGCTAGACTCTTGATCTATTTTTGATAACCGGACATGGATCGTAGACCTCGTCATATGGGATGCTTTATGAATCAGTCCTCGTACTAGAGGCTCTGAGGAAAACAGTGTCTGACCTTGGTCTGAATTTGGGCAACCTACTGCGGCTGCTGTGAATGCTTTGGAAGCATGAATAGCAGTTCTTTGATGCCTGAAGTCTTGCCAGGTCTTGCCCGGCCCGGGCTCCTACAACACACGGAAAGACTCCGACTGGATCACCCTGCCTGGAAGCCCCAGAGTATTTTGGCTGTAATTCACACCAACTCTGAAGAAAACCACTCGAAAGTTTGTGGAAGAGGGCAGTTCGAAAGGCGCTCATGAGGGACAGGGCCATGCCCGGCATGATTGATTTTGTCCACTGATGTAGTCCTTCATATTTTATTGTATTGACCGACTTGTTTTCAGACTTCTCCGTGCAATCCACAAGAAGTTGTGAGTCCTTGTTAACCACATCAACTTCCTGATTTCGCTCAGGACTCACAACATCTACTTCGGCGATTTCGCCTGAGCATTCCTCCGAAGCGTGGGAAAGGCTGGGAGGCCATGGACCACCCGGCCCGGCCGAAACAAAGCTCTTGCAAGAGTTGTATCTCTTGCTACTAGCAGCAAGGGTAGTGAAGTTGAACACATAATGCTTCTCGCAGCGTTCTTTTTGCTACTGTGAACTCTGTGAACATTTTACATGTTCACTTGGAGGTGTCGTCATTGGCTCTCGGCCGAATTCGCTCTGTTCCCAAAAGGGACGTGGCATTTTCGTTTCACGACAGGTCGCATACTCGTTCGACAAAATTTTGTCGGTCCCCCATGCGCTCAGCTGAACGGTGGCCTAGAGGTCCCTAAGACTGGTTCCATGGGAATTTGGAGAAGGTGAAGCTTTTGGAATCTTGAATAGTGAGCCCAAGGAAGATCGAAAGGGAAGCGCTCTTTGCATGGCTTGTATAAGGCCCTTCGAGCAACACCTGTCGGCAGCCGGATAGGCTGTTGAAAACCTTGGTGTTTGCAGGGTCATGCAGTCCAAGCTCAACACCTCTCAGTGAACTGACACACCGAGCGAAACCACGCGATTCCGCGCTTGGCTTCAGCGTCTAATGCGGATCCGGGTGTGGGGACCCGCGGGATCCATGGCGGTTTGGGGGCTTAGACGATCGAAAGGAACAAAAAGAGCTCTGGAGAGATTCTTTTTCACAAAGATAATTACAGCAATTACAGCAAAAAGGATAAGTTCTTTCAACAATGACAGTTCTTTTTTATTTGTCAATGACACTTCAAATCATTGGTAGGTGCAACAAATCGAGAAGCCGATTTGCTGCTAGGAACTCTAGTTCGATGGTCCCACCGGCCCTTTCTTGAGACTTTATGCTCCCTATCCAACACAGATGAACCTCTCCACAAGTGGTTTTGGAAGTTGAGGACTTCCTCTACCAGGTATGCCAGGTGGTTAGAGGTGGCTACGATGTTGTGAGTGGTGACTGAGTAGACTTGCGAGACTCGCTGCACGCACGGACTAGGCTCCAGAGGCTTGGAGACCAGCCAGGCCAGCAGAGCTGTTCTCACGGCTTTTCATCAAAGGCACGAATCCAGATGAATCCACCTTCCAGGCTCCGGTTCCTGTCTCCAATCTGAAGTTTCCATGCCACCGACACATTGCAGTCAACACTCTCAGTGCTCCACTCTTCCCCACTCGCAACACTTTGCAACACCACGCCGCCACCGAGAACGTGCGAGGTGTCGGGCACTATGCGGCAGACTGGGCAGCCGGTGGTCGGCATTTCAGGCTGGGCGATTTGCGGTCAGCGAACTGCTTCGCGAACGATTTGCGGGGATTAGCTGACATGAAACACAACACGAGTTTCACCAACACCCGTGGCTTTGTGCCAATTCTCACCAAAAAGAATAGGTCCATGAGATGTGAGAGCCCATGAGAAAACCATGTCCCAGAGGTGACACCCACCTGCTTCCAAGAAACCATAAACTATTTTAAACTACCACCATGCACGTAACGCTGCGCCTGTCAGTTGCAAAGCCAAGTTTAGGCCAAACCAAGTTAGGCGACGCTGACAGCGGGCTTTCTCGTCGTGACGGCGCAGGTGCACGTGACGGCGCTGGAGTTCGACCCTTCTCGCGCGCCCGGGCTCGATCGCCGGGCGCCACCGCGGGGGCACCTGGTGGTGTCCGGCCCAAAGAAAAAGGAGGAGTTGGCAAGCAGTGGGATCATGAGAAATGGTGTTCTCGTTTTGAATTCTGGGTCATTTGCGGTGAGATATTTGCATCGGAAGTTTTTGAACGAAAACCAGATTGAACATGTTTGAACCCATGTCCCTGCTTCCAATCATAAGTTTCTAAGAAACATGCCGGTGTTTTGCATGCTTAAGAATCTTGTTGGGTTCACTTGGTGCTCAGCTATGCAGAAGCCAAGCAGGGAAAGGAAGAGAGCCTGGTGATTCCAGTAGCAAGGCCAGGAGCCCCTAGTAGCGTCCTTGCTCCTCCTTGTATTTGTTGCTGACCAGGTGATCTCCGGTGGCAAAGCGCAGGCGAGATCTTGACTTGCCACTCTTCGGTCCTCAGAATTTTTACAACCATTGAGACATGCGAAAGCTTGGCAGTTCTTCAGCCCGCACAGCTGTGAAGAACATTGTTCTTCGCACTCAAATCATTAAACAATCATTAGCTTGAACATGGTATATAGATGTGATGAGACTGGATTTCAAGAGGTCTCAGGCTGAGTAACCCTCAAGATAACAAACAATCAACTCAAGCAAAAGTGGCTCTACAAAGATCGAAGACCGCGCGCTATTTCATGCTAGCTGGTCGTAGTCTGTCTCGGTGGTCGCAGTTCTTTTGGCGAACGCATGTGACACCAGGCAAAGCCTGTTTTCCATCCGGGGTTTCTATCCTTGTTTCATCGACCTGGGCCCTTTCCCTCACCAGAGCGTGCTGAGGGACCTTCACAGAATACGGCCTATGGCTTTCAGAGCGCAGCGCAGAACCGATCCTCTTTGGGAGGTAGTGGGACGTGGGGTGCCCCGGGCCGTGGGATGGAGAGCATCGCATTGTTTTTAGAGCTTTTAGGTTTTGCTTGACTCAGGATCTTGACAAAACTCTTGGATTTGAGCTGAACATGCATTGTTGCAGAATATGCAAGAAGAGGTTGAACATCAATTTAAGTGTTGTCTCAGACAGACCTACAGCATTTGAGATGGTCCAACCTGGTGATTGTACCAAATCCTTTCTGAAGGCAGCATTCCAATGTTTGAGAGTTTGAGATCATTTTAGGTGCTAGGCTCAGCCGGAGTACTGCCTGAATGCTCCAAGTGGCATGACCGCGTTGATGGGAATGGTGTCGCACCTTAGAGTTGTTTGGCGGTTGCTCCAGCGGCCATGCCAGTCTTGCTGCGAGTGGAAACCGCCCAGCCAATCTCCGCACGAGCACGGGGAACGTGGCCGTCCAGGGCTCAGTGACGGGATGACCCTCTTCCCCTTTGTTGTAGTGAAACGTTCACGGCTTTTCTGATAGCCTCGCTATTGGGTCGGGGGCCTCTGTCTGGGCGCCGGAAGTAAGCACCTGGTGTGGACGCCCTCCTGAGGCGCCGGAAGCGCGCAGCTCGGGTCGCAGCTCGAGGCTCAGTGTGGTGGTGCGGAAGCGGCCCATGAACAAGCGCGAGGCGGGAAGACGTGGCATTAGATATGTGGCGGGAAGACGTGGCCGGGTGGTGAACACTGATCGGGGAAGATGTCCATCTGTCAAGGTAGAATGCCCTTTGGGGCATCACAAGTTTGAGGCCGTTGTTCCTCGAACATATGAAACTGAACCTATGACTTGTGGAAGGTGCAGACTGCGCAACAGGACGTGGTCTTTTGCAGGCTGGGCTAAGCCGAGGGAATTGTCTGAAGGTTGAAGGAGTATGATGGAATTGAAACTTTCCATGGCGACTTGAACCGACTTTGTTGGCTGTGGCAGCTGGCTGCCGGCTGGATGTGGTCAGGGAAAGCGCGGTCGTGGTGAGGGAGCCCAAACTCAAAGTTGACCTTACGCGCTACGTCGAGGTGTGGGAAAACCGTTCATTCTTGCTGTGTGTGACTGTGGCTAGCTTTGTGGAAGTGCGTTGTCATTTCAATAAGCAGAAGAAAGGACCGCTTTCGCCATGGCTGTGGCCTGTGGGCTTCAAACTTCCAAGATTGCAAAACCTTGGTAGGAGCAAACTCATCCTTCTTCATACTGTGCAGGAGCACAATTTTCTTTTCGACAAGGCTTTTGATGAGAACGTCTCCCTCTCAGCCAGAAGCATCAGAAGAACCACCGTTTTCGAGACAAGTCTCCTATCAGTACACCCGTTGCTGCGAGCAAAGAACTTTGTGGCCACGGGGCTTGAGGGAGTATGTTCCATGAGAATCAAAGAACTTTTTTTGTGGCCAGGTCCTGAAGCTTTCTGAGTTTCTTTGTAGACAAGCTTGCAACCCCACTTTACTGGGCGCCCAAGGGTGGCACATCACAAGATCAGGTTGGCACATCACCAGTCACTAATATAGTTTAGATTTGGATATGTTGAGGGTCTGGTGTGTGGGGTTCTGGTCTGCTATCAAGCTTCACGGTTTTGATCCTGGCTTCTCGGATCTGATTTGCTGAGAGCAAGAACTCTTGGGCAAGGTTGGTTTGAGCAACTTCCTGGTGGTTTCCAATGAGGAATTACATTTCGGTGAGTCCACCATGCTCATGTGGTGGACAGGGCTTTGTTTTGGTAGGGCCCCGGAACTCTGTAGTTGATTTTTCAGGGAGCCAAGGCAACCTGTTGCCAACACAAGAGCGTTATCAGTATTCTGTATTCACAGTGCCGGTGCCCCAAGTAACCTTTAAAGGTACTGACTACTGTGAACAGTCTAATCGTCAGCCGTTTTAGTCTCTGGTCTCTCTGAGGCGACCAACGAGTCGCTCTACAGGTCCTGTGTGCAACCTGTGATTGACGCTGTGGGGTGCCAAGCCAATTGAATGTCACCGCCCTAAAGCTCTAGGCCTTCAGCTTTCAGAATGTTAGAGGTGCTCTGGGTTGGAAAGACAATGGTAACAGGTTTGGCCAGGTGCCCCTAGTAGCTTCTTGTTACTAGTAGTAAGAATGCTCCTAGTAGCAATGCCAGGAGCCCCTAGTAGCGTCCTTGCTCCTAGTAGCGATGCCCTTTGTTCCTAGTAGCGTCCGCTACCCCACTGTATTTTTGCCTCACTAGATTGAAGAGACCTTTGGAAGACATCCTCTATCACGCGGTTGATCCAAAACAGGATGGTGAAGACGGTCTGCGTGCGGCGGTCGGTGCCCGGGACCGAGGTCTTTCAAAAGGCGAAGTGCACCTGCTTCGCGCCTGGGGGCCCAGTTTGGAAGTGAAATGAAGTGAGGTGATACAGGGCCAGCTGCCGTTGTGCACAGAGAAGGAAGGTCCAGTGTTTTTTCATCGCGATTTCGCGCAGATGAACATGAGTGGAAGTGCAACACATCCTTTCAGACTCTTTTCAGAGGTTCAGCAAGAGGTTCTACTGTAAGAGGAGTAAAGCATATCCTTTCTCACTCACAGCATTGGTTCCAAGAAGGCGGAATTGCCGATGTTGCTGATGCGCATAAGGTATGGACAGACAGGTAGCGGCAAGACCTTTACGATGATGGGGCCACCAAAGCGATTGGTGCAGCAGACCATGTTTTTGTCATGTTTTTTGTCGGGCGTCTGTTTCTGCGTTTGGAGTTCATCTCTGCGAGCGTTGAACGGTTTAAACGCTTCTTTGTTGCAGATTCTTTACGGATTCGTCGCAGACTGGAGATGTTGGGTGCAACTCTTTCGAAGTCTTCGAACAATTTGTAAAGGAGATACATTTCACCCTTGAGCGAAAAGGAAGCCACATTCCAGGTGGTAGCGGACTTACCGTAGTTTGTATGCAATCAGTTTCAGCAATCTTGGAAACCTGCACTGTTCTAAATAAATGCTCATAAGTTTCTATTTCTTTACCAGACCTTTTCAACAAACAGGCATCTCGCGACACCATTTCTTTGGAAGGTATGAATCTTCCAGGTCGTTGAAAGGAAATCCACTCGTTTGCTTTGAGCCACGTGTCAGAGTCTGCTTTCCTGGCAAACCTTTGGGGGCCATTTGCTAAGTCTTGCATCATCCATGGTACCGTTCCAACACAGCAAGACTGATGGACTGAGACTGTTTGGAGCGACAGACTGAGACTGATCTCTCCCAGCCAGGTAGAGAACCTTCTGCCAGAGGAAAGACCTCCTGGTATCTTCCTTCTCGCCTCGCAGGTCACGCTTCCTGGTCCATCTTAGCAAAGAGATAGACTGATAGACGATCCCTTTTTTCTTTGAACACTAGCTGCAGTCTCACTGCAAAGGAATGCTGGGACCGCTGAGATGACGAATTTTTTTCCATGTTCCCTTGGAAAGAACTGAGTGATGACGTGGACATGTCCGTCCCTCTGTAAACCGGGCGCAGGACCTTTTTCGAGGCCTAGAGAGCAAGGCCAGCTAGAGAGTCCACAGCTTGTTTGAGTGAATTGAGTTCGACATCCATGTCAGATGGCTTTGGCTTAGCTCTGTGGATGACAAGAAGACACGGTACATGGTACGTCCTGTGCAAAAACAATGGGTTTGTGCAAGAATTCAGCTTCCATCTCCTCTGCACTGGTTCCGCTCAGTGGGTTGTTCTTAACATTGAAACGGCTTGAAAGCATTTCTGCCGCCAGGAGTATGCACACTTGGGGGTCTTCATCGCCTTCTACGAGATCTATTGCGGGAAGCTCTTTGATTTGCTGAACAACAGGACAGTGGCCCAGAAGGGTGTCATGTGTTGCCTGATGACACTTCCTGGTCTACTTTACCAGGCAAAATTGAGACTCAACTCTTGATACTGTGGGTTTGTCAAGACATGTTGTACGTTGTGAGTGCGGAGGCAAGTGCTCCATGCCCGGGAGAATGCCAAGGGAAATGTGGTCATCGCTGGCTTGCAGGATATGCTTTTAACGGCCTTTTGCCCATCCTTGAAAGATTTGCCAAGAATAGCTCTTCCCAAGAAGCCACGATGAACCAGTCCCAAACATGGCCATTGGACGTTCAGGATTGATTGTTGCCTGATGCTTGCTGCAAAATCGTTTCTGACAGTGGGTATGACATAACGCTATTGGTCGAGGACCCGATGTTTGCTGTTGCTGGGAGAACGGATAGCTCTCCCTCTCCTACTCCCCTCCCCTCCCCTCCCCTCCCCTCCCCTCTATTGCTTTGACCGATAGTATGGGCCTTCTAGCGCGCGGCGGTATGTTCAAACAATGTGCGAGTGTTTATTTTGGGCCAACTGGTACCACCACATTTTGGCCCTTGTTTTGGCTCGCCCTGGCCGGCGCGTTCCTGGCCACCCTTGCAAGAGTCGTTTTGCGGCTCCGCTGAGCCGTTGTGCGGCTCGCCGTGTGTCCTGAGACCAGGAGCATCCGGTGGGAAATGTCCAGGATCTCATGGAGGCCAGGCGGCAACGAAGCGGAGAAACCGCTGCACCGGAGCCCTGAAACGGTGTGAAGTTGCAGGTTTCTGAATTTTAAGGGTTTGAGTCATTGAGTGAATATGATGATAGGAGCCAAGGCAACAGAAAGAAACCTCCACACAGCAGCCATACTCTCCTTTGCTTTCATTTCAACGGTCTTTGCTGAAAGGCACGTTCTTTTGAGACTGGAACTTGCTGAGCTGTCCACTAAAGATGGGGCTCGGCCGGGCAGAAATCTAGCCTCTTCTTGGAAGAAACTGGTTGATTGTTCGACTTCGTTTTCCAAGCACTTTCACCGAAGCACTTTCACCATCTTTCACCTATGGCCTTACATGGGCCATGGTCAAAAATTGAAGCTCTCCAGCCTGGGCAGGTCATCGAGTGTGGCCTCAATAGCCGCACCACTGGTGTGACGGGTGCCAACGTGGATTCGCGAGACACCCAGTGAACACAAGTTTGTCTCTTTCCGAACGCATCGGCACATCGACACTCTGGTGACTTTTCGATCGAATCGTTGAAACATTACTAGTAGCTTCTTGCTACTAGTAGTAATGCCAGGAGCTACTAG